AGTTGGAAGGGCTTGCGGTGCTGACTCCTCCAACACTGCAGCACTGTCGAACAGAGACTAGGCGCCGCCATGTTCATATTTGGGCACTATAGTGGTATCAATGATGGTGTCGCGATAGTATTGTGTATGACACTACGACGATGTATCATACTTCAAAATTTTGCCCCTTGTATTTTCCTGCAAAACACAACTAAAATATTATATTTTTACTAATAAAATTAACACATAAAATGTAACATTATTTACACTTATCATTTTTGCAACTAGGGATGGTAATAACATATGGTTCAATATCGTTAAAGTTACTTGAAAATTGATTTTGAATTTCCAACTATTATCTTTGTTCTTAAGATATGGATGTATTTTTTTGTATGGAGTGTGAAATCTTTACTATCCCTCTTAGCCTGTAGTATACCTTCACTCAGAAGGAATTAAATATGAGATAGAGAAGGTGGCTTGAGCTAATAAAATACTATGAATTGAGTATTTAGTATAAGCATGGTAAGGGCAATGTGATAGTAAATGCTTTAAGTAGGAAGTATGTAGGAACATTAAGTCATTTGCTTTCTTCTGATGCTTATCTGATTCGAGATATGAAAAAGGGTATAATTGGAAGTGGTTAAGCCAATTGATTTGGAATTTGTTGCACTTGCTTAGATGATTGTATAACTTATTCTACGGGAAAGAATTTTGGAGTCCCAAAGGCTTGATGAAAAATATTCAAAGCTAGTGGATCATATTCAATCTGGTAAGAAGCTTGAACCTCAAGTAAATGATTCTGGTGTTATATTTAGTAAATATAAATTGTGGGTTCCTAGTAGTGCAAAATTGAGGAATAATGTTCTACGTGAGTCACACTATTATGGATATACTATTCGCTTTAGGATTAGTAAGATGTATAATGATTGAAAATATAACTAGCTGACTTTGTAGCAAAATGTTAAACTTGTGAATTGGTTGAAGCACAACATAAACAACCTAATAGCTTGCTACAACCGTTTCTCATTTTTTAGTGGAAATGAGAAGATGTAACTATGGACTTTGTCATGGGTTTCCCTAGGTCGAGGTAAGAACATGAAGCTATTTAGGTTATTATGGACCATCAAAAGAAATCTGCTCTTTTTTTTTTTCGATTCAATAGTCTGATTCTATAGAAAAGTTAGCATGGGTATATATGCGTGAAACTATGCTGAGGTGTTGTGGCACTATGCTTTTTATAACTCTAGAAATTTAAGGGGGGATGCGATAGTGGGTGCATGAGTGCCATGACACTATGAAATAAAAATTTTCTATAAATATTATTTTCTACTAAATTATAATATATAAAAATCATTTCCACCAAATCTCAATGAGAGAGAGAGAGAGAGAGAGAGAGAGAGAGAGAGAGAGAGTCCGTTTTAGGTAGCTTCTATCTGATTTCATTTGTCGAGCCAATTTGGGATATTATTTCAATATGGATATGTTAAATTTGTCCTATTCTAATTTTTAATAATTCAGAGTTTTTGAAATTTTCTAATTTAATTTTTGAAATTTCAATGTAAAAGAGGGTAGATTTTGACATCAAGTAAACTTTTAACACTTAACTTTTACTATATCATAAATTGCAATAATTTGCACATTTTTGGTATATTATTTGTGAATTTTTACTTACCAATTCTGATTTCCTTCAAATTTAAGCATTCATAAAAATATTCTGACTTTGATAAATAGTGGTGTATTACAATAAAAGTTTCATGACGTAGCTATGAATAATATGTAATAATTTGGTTGTGATATGTGAATGTGGAAATTTTGTGTATGGGTTACCTCAAATTTCTGTCCGTTTCATTGCTAGTAGGATATTTTGTGAAATTCTATGATAAGTTTGATATTATTTACTATAAGATAAAAATGTAATTATTTTTTGTTTTTATATATGAAATGTTTGAATTAGAGGAGTTTTGATATTTATTAGGAGCTATAAGTACCTGAAACTCTGAATATCTATAGTGCTTAGTATTGAGATTATAAGAGCCCATTATTTGATATGCTAGACATGAAGTCATAAGAGCCTATATTTTGAATTATGACATTTGCTGGGAGGTATAAAGGGCCTAAGGGGAAATAAATGTGATGTGCTATGAATATTTGATGCCATGTGCTTATTTGTGATTCGATGTGTTATGTTTATTATTTTTATTTATGTTATGTATTATGTGTTTGGAACTGTAGATCTATTTTGAGATTTTGTATATTTTGGCAATGTTCTAAGTAATTTTTTCTTTTTATGCTCTGCTACTATTTTGATAAAGGTTATGTAGAAATAGTCTATTTTATCTCATTGTTTTATTATAATTAAGAATTGTTGTATATTTATTAAATTTTTTGATAAATTCAATATAGCCTACTGAGTTGTGGTTTGCTCATACATGCTATTTTGCATCTATTTCATATCAGGGTAAGGGAAAAAGGTAGGTTAAGCATAGAGAGGAGTTATAGATTCTAATCTTTCAGTAAGTATGTTCTGCTAGAGATTTTTTTGCAGTCATGGCTTTGCTATTTTGTAGTATCCTGTGCCATGGGCTATTTATAAATGACTATTGGGATGTATAAATGAATAACAAAGGTATTTGATGATGAGTATTTTGTGTATTTATTTGAAGTAAAGTAACGTCTCTTTAGTCTGTAAATACTTGATAAAAAATCTAAAATTCTCTCTGAATAGATATTGGGAAATCGGTCATGTTACAATTACAATCCCACACGATATAATATATCCTAAATGTGAGTTCTGTTGAATAGGACTCTAACAAGTATAGTCTAGAAAAAGTTTTTTAAAGATCTTAAATAAGTTGGATACTTACCAACTCTATGTTCAAGATTGTAAACATAGTTAATAAGTAGATTTGACAGCAAGTATAGAACAATTGAAAAATTTTCTAATTCTTTGAATGAGCATGCAGGAACATCAAAGGGTGATTTCATTATGAATAGTAAGATATAAGTGCATCAACTCAGGAGCAAGTTGATAAGGCTTCAAACCATAAATGGTATTACAAAAACCTTAGTTGAATAGAGTTATTTTAGCGAGTTTTTATAGTCTTGAACCAATCATGCAACCAAACTAAAAACCTTGAACTAGATTGTTGAAAGGTCTTGAAAATGAAATATGGTCCGGCCTTTATCATCAAAGGTGATAGATAAAATATGATCACAGAGGGAGCACTATATTTGCTTGGGATATTGACCATCAAGGTGAAAACGTATCCTATTAAATATGATAGAATGAGCTTACAAAGATCTCCTAGAAAGAAAATCTATATTAATTAAAATATTCCATCAAAAGAGCTGGCATAATTAGCTATCCATTTAAAAAAAGATTGTCTATCTATTCTTTTGTTAATCCAAAGTACATTGCTTTCCTCTCTCATGTAAATATCGATTTTTAATGCACGACTGATTATGAATGCTATTCATATCATTAATCCAATGCCAACATTTCAATTTACATTTATTGGTTATAACTTTTGCATTGCAATTTTTGTTATATATTTGTTGTGTTTCTCTTGAATTTTGTATACCTTATAATCTATTATGCTATAGTCGTTATTATTTCACTCATTTTTTTTATATCAATCTTGTAGCAAGCTATGTTTAGGAATGCACTCTATTGTATTTGCTACATTCAAATCATGTTCGATCCAAGTTTTAATCATATTTGAACCATACTTAAATCATGCTTGAATGTTCTTGGAATATTTTTCAAATGGAGTTCCAATTCGGCGATTTTAAAAAAATAAATAATTAATTGCTTTTCGGTCTAAATATATTTAAATAAATAAAATTGACAAATGTAACGTATTTGCATAAATGGAATTTCGGTCGGTCGGGAGCCTGGCCGGAGCGCGGAGCCCCGGTGGGGGCGGGGTTCGGGCGCTGGAGCGATTTTTTTTTTTTTAATTTGACCGGCGGTTTAAGACCGCCGGTAAGCCGCCGGAAAAATTTGCCGCCGGAAAAAACCCCCGGAAAACCGCCGCTAAATTACAAAACCGCCGGAAAATGCCCAATTTCCGCCGGAAATGAGTGATTTTCCTGTAGTGAATAGGGCTCAAATAAGTTTGGAACTATGTTTGAATAAAGTTCCATAATGTTCAAATATAGATTCAAATTTTATTTGGGACGGCTTTCTTACTGTTTCATAAAGCAGCTTTCTAGTAAAAAAATATTAATTTTTTAATAGAAAGCAGTTTTAAGTAGTAAGATAGCTGATCCAAATGAAATCTAAATATTGCTTGAATATGATTACAACTCTCTTTGAATAAATTTTGCTCTAATTTGAGGGGATGATATTTTAGTTCAAAATAAACTTTTGTATATATTTTCTCATAAATAAATATTGAATATATTTTTATAATTAAGACTATAAAGCATGCATAATCAAATTTCTTGTCATTTAAAGTCAAATACCCTCAACTAAAATTTTACTTTTCATACTTATATGAAAAATTAGGGGTATTAATTTCAGGTCACGGGTCGGGTTCAGGTCCAACCTAAAACTAACCCAGCACTATTTGGGTCAACCCGAACCCGACCTGCTTTGGGTCCGGGTCAACCCGACCCGACCCGAATGACCCGGGTCAGACACAAAACTGCTAGTTTTTGGGTCCAAAAACAGGTCGAACTCCGGGTTTCAGGTAAAAAAAAAGGTCAATCTCGGGTTGCCGGGTCAAAAACGGATTTTTGGGTAAAAAACAGATCATTTTCGAGTCAAATTCGGGTCAATCCGAATCCGACCCAATTTTTGAAATGGGTTGAATTATTGAACCCGAACCCGACCTGTTTCGAGTTCAGGTCAACCCAAATCTAAAATTCTGAATCAGGTTCAAGTCGAATTTTCAGATCGGATCCAATATTAACACCCAATTGAAAAATGGCAGCCCTTCCCATGTGAAAGTCAAATTTACGCTAAGAAAGTGTAGCAGTCTTCGAAGGATCAAACTGGACTTATGACCAAGAGGAGAAAAAAAAAAAAGAAAAAAAAAGAAAGTAAAAAAGGAGGGCTAAATTCTGAAGAAAAAAGATCTGAGACTTGGATGGAGAGGGAAAGGGATCGAAAATGGAAATCCGGGACTCTATAGCTCAGCCCTCAGATCTCTAATGGTGGCGCGCCTCTCCTCTCCCTTATCATCTATTAGCTTTTCTCATCTCCATTTGTACCATTTCCTCGTATTTAAAAAAAAAAACCCGCTTTTTATAGGTTTTCCCTGAGATCTGTCTTCTTTCATCCAGAGATCCGATCCTCCCAAATCTCAAATCACCCATTCAAAGGATTTCCCAATCCACTGCAATGGGCCGCCTCCGTCTCCAGAATCCTGGCATAAATCCCATCGATGAGGAATCCCTCGCCGACATTGACACCGACCAATCTCCCAACCCCCCGCCGGATAATTCTTGCTGCTCCTCATCCGGTCACGCTTTGGCCTGTATGATCAACTCGAAGGTTAGTGCCGTCCTCGCTGTCATGCGCCGAAACGTCCGGTGGAGCGGCCGCTACGCCTCTACCGCCGACGAATACCTTGACCACTCCCTGATTCAATCTCTCAAATCTCTGCGCCGCCAGCTCTTCTCCTGGGATACCAGCAGATGGAGCTCCATCGATCCCACTCTGTATCTCCGCCCTTTCCTCGACGTCATCCGCTCCGACGAAACTGGCGCGCCCATCACCGGTGTTGCCCTATCTTCTGTCCACACAATTCTAGCCCTTGAGGTGTTTGACGCCGGGACTGCCCACGTCGAAGACGCTATGCACGCTGTTGTGAACGCGGTTACAAGCTGCAGGTTTGAGGTGACCGACCCGGCATCAGAGGAGGCGGTACTGATGAAGATTCTTCAGGTGCTTCTGGCTTGCATGAAGAGCCGGGCATCGATGGTTCTCAGTAACGAGCATGTGTGCACCATTGTTAATACTTGTTTTCGGGTTGTTCATCAGGCGGGAACCAAGGGAGAGCTTCTACAGAGGATATCCCGCAATACAATGCATGAGCTAGTCCGTTGTATCTTCGTGCGATTGCCTGATGTTAGCAAAAGCAATGGCAAACTTTCATCACTAGTTGAGGTACAAGATTGTTTATTCTTATGGTGTTAAGTTCAATTAACAAAGTACCATTTATGAGCTTGAAATATTGCTATATGTGGGTTATAAATTATGATTGTCTTTATAGATGTAGTTGTAGGTTTATTCTAGTGCTTTGTCTACAGTTAAGGTTTAAGCTTGTTTTGCTTGCCGCTCAATGGTAGGATCTGTTTGGGCTGTTTGGCTGCAAGTAGGATTTAACTCAAAGAGGATTTAGTAAATCCAAATTCAGTAAATCCTAAGATAGTTAAATCCTGAAAATTGTTTGGCATGATAGAGGTTGAATTCGATTAATGCTTGATGAACTGTTTGGCTACTTCTTTGCTTACTCAAATAATATTTTAATAATATCATTTTACTTGTTAATATTTATAATTAATGATAATTATAAGATTAATTTATTTATATCTAATTTATATGATTGAATATTACTAATTTTAATTTATTTTTTATCTATTCTAATTAGATTAATTAAATCATATTTTATTAATTACTAATTAATAAAATAGTAAGATAATAAAATAAAAAAATTTATTATTTAATATTTAAGTTTTAAACAAAGGCTTAAATATCAATTATAAGCTCTAAGATAGAGGAAGACCTAAAAAATTATTATATATAATTATAATTATATTAATTTTCTTTTTGTCCAATGGGGTAGTTATCTCTCCCACACTGTTGTTGTAGCCCATAAAGAGAGAAAAAAAGGACAAAAATAAGAAAATCTGAAGTATAATGGAGTTGGGAGAGGGTAGGCAATATTCTTCTGCTCCATTGCCTGCTATTTGTATAATTTCTCTTCTTTATTCTATGTCGATGCTTCTCTTGTATCATGATAAGAAACACTTGAAGATCTCAAGTGAAACGTAACGATCTTAATAAAATCAACGAGAATACACAACAAGTAGAGGAAAAATCAAAGAAAAACAGCCCACTTTATTGAGAAAAATCAACTAATAGAAGAAAAGCAAACAAAATACAAGTGATCCTCAATTCGAGAGGATGATCGATCTCTCCCGATTCTCTAGACGTCGCTAGAGCCCAAAGGAAACCTAAATCTAAGAGATCTCAAATTTCAGCTAAATTCAAGATGCCTTAATCCTAGGAAAACAAAGTATTTAATGCATACAAATAAAAAGGAAATCTCTAAACAATCCCTACATTCAAATTTCCCTCCCAAATCCCTCAAAAAATCTTCCTAAATTGCTCCGCTTGGGCGTGGTCGGTGTGACGGTGCTTACGAGAAGCATAAGATTTCCGTCTCCGTTTGCAAACCGGTCCGTTGGACCGGCTGGATCGGTCCAATAATTGACCGGACTGGTCTAACAATACTCCCCTTCCAAAGATCCACCTTGTCCCCAAGGTGGAAAGACGACACCCTCCTCATTCCTTCTTCATCACAAACGGTAAGAATCTGAAGAGTTCGGTCCTTACACCTGTGGCTGGGCGTATACCTCTCGTCACATTTGAAGCAGATCCCCTTCTCCCTCTTCTCATGTAATTCTGTTTCTGTGAGCTTCTTGAAGTTGTCCCCATTCTTACTCCCACCGTCTTCTCCTTTGAAATCTCCCGAGGAGTACCCAGTGTCGGCTTGTTGGGTGCAAGAAGGGTGGTGGTCCTCCTGCTTGGACCTCCTGAGCTACTGCCTACAATTTCTCTCTCCAGGTGCCTTTGATCCTCCACCAATTGAGCTAGTTCCATAGCCTCTCCCAAGTCACGAGGCCTCAGTACTCTAATTGTTGCCCGGATCTCTGGTGTCAGTCCCTTCATGAAATTTCCTTCTAGCACTGTCTCAGGCAGGTGGTCCAATCAGCTAGCAAGGTACTCAAATCTCTCCCAACACTTCGTCATTGAACCCTTCTGTGTCAAGGCAAAGAACTGCTCGTAGAAGTCCCCTCTCCTGCCAGTTCGGAAATGTTCTATCAAACAATCCTTGAACTCTCGCCAATTCCATATGGGCCGTCGCATGTCCCTCCACTGATACCAAGACAAAGCCTTCTCTTCCAAATATAGGTCCGCCGCTGTCAGTCTCTCATCCTCTGTCAACCCATTGACGATGAAATATCTTTCTACTTTGTAGATCTACCCGTACGCATCCCCCCCCACAAAGATTGACATTTTCATCTTTCTCACCCTCGGGTCACCCCCGTTTCCCCTAAATCTTCCATAATCGTCCATTCCTCGAAGAGGAGGTGCTCCCCAATTGTCATGATCTTCATACCCAAACCCTTCTTCAAAATCCCCTCTTTTTCTTTCAAAATCAGCACCCCTTCTTGCATAGCTAATGCTCATCTCTTTCCTAGAATGTGGTTCTATGATTGCCAGTTGTTTCCTTTGCTTCCGATGTCACCGGTTTGATTTTGGTTTCAAGCAATTTTCTCAACATGTCTTCCATCACGACGAACTTTTTCTCCATCCTTTCATTGATGAATGCAATTTGATTTTGAAAATCAGTAATATTCTCCTCAAAATTTGCTTTGGATTGCCCAAGTTCTCCCTCCAAAACTTCCACTTTCCTTCCGGCCATTGGTTCCCCTTCGATCGACGTGCTCTGATACCAATTTGATAGGAAACACTTGAAGATCTCAAGTGAAACCTAACGATCTTAATAAAATCAGCGAGAATACACAACAAGTAGAGGAAAAATCAAACAAAAATAGCCCACTTTATTGAGAAAAATCAACTAATGGAAGAAAAGCAAACAAAATACAAGTGATCCTCAATTCGAGAGGAGGATTGATCTCTCCCGATTCTCTAAACACCGCTAGAGCCCAAAGGAAACCTAAATCTAAGAGATCTCAAATTTCAGCCAAATTCAAGATGCCCTAACTCTTGGAAAACAAAGTATTTAATGCATAAAAATCAAAAGGAAATATCTAAATAGTCCCTACATTCAAATTTCCCACCCAAATCCCTCAAAAAACCTTTCTAAATTGCTTCGCTTGGACGTGGTCAGTGCGACGGTGCGTACAGGAGGCGGAAGATTTCCGCCTCTGTTCGCAAACTGGTCTCGTCGGACCGGCCGGACCAATCTAATAATGGACCGGTCTAAAATAGCCTTAGACATGTTTAGCGTGTGCTTTTCCTCTTCTCCAATTCTTCGACGTCACTTGCTTCGTGTGAAGTAGAGTTTTAAAGAGTCCCTAACGGAAGCGTGTTTGCCTCCTTCAACAACGTTATTCCTATGGTATCGAAAGTCACGATGGTAACTCACGTGAAGGTAAAGATCATTCATTCTTTCACAATGTGGGAGCTCATCCTCAAAAATTCTAAATCTTGTTAAATCCAGCAAATGATGGGATTTTGTAAGTCCCATATTTACCATGAAAATTGGTTAATCCAAAATTTACGTTGGGCAGGATTTACGGTAAATACTGCTTAAACCCGCTACCAAACAAAAGTACGAATGAGCTACACCTCCCAAGGCCCAAGTTTATAATCATGATTCTGTGTTTCGCTATTGTGTGGTTATTTTCTAGCTTAATATGCCTTAGCAAGCCTTTTGTCACACTTTGAGTCTAGATGGTGGAACACGCCAACAAAATGTGATATGATAAGGAACTTATCTTTTACTTGAAAAACTAAACTCTAGAGTTAAGGTCAAGTGTAATAGTTTTGTATTTAAAAGAAATTTGTAATAATAAGATATAGAAAATAAAATCTTATTTCGACAAAGGAAATATTAGCTTTCATTTATTAAACTAAAACATCAAACTAATGAAAATAAGAGGATCAGCTATCTATGCAAAACTAAACCAATATCAAACATAAGTGTTTAAACGAGGAAATACCTTTGCAAAACTAAACCAATATCAAACATAAGTGTTTAAATGAAGAAATTAATGGGGACATCAGAGATTGTAAAGTCTATCAGAAACGTGGTCGTTGATCTACGGCCACGATCGAGTCGATGTTTTTTTAGTTGTATTATGTATTTATCTTTTATTATTTTATGTTTGTATTTGCTTTTGTTATTTTCCGCTTTTACTCCCTACTTAAGAGAGGTCATGTGTATGCCCAAAGGGCATTGCCGTCTTTTATTTTTTTGAGACATTTGTATGAGGTTATATATAGCCCTTTTGTTCTCTTTTCATGCTTAATGAATGAATGATAAAAAACTTTTCCCTGTGTTTGAGTTCTTGTGAGAACTTGAGAGAGATTGGAGTGAAGCCCCTTGCAGAGGGAATCGTATCACCCGCCAGCCTTGGAAGAGTCCAGGCTCGCGGCTAATTTGTCGTATCTTTTCTTCCTCCCGTTCTCCACCCCAACCTGCCGGCTCATGCGACCGCTCCCCTTCCAAGCCGCAACCCTTCACCACCTTTCTATCCATTGGTTCATCCCACCACCACCACCTCAACCACTACACCCCACTACCTCTTCCCACTCCACACAAGCCACCTTTCTCCCCACATTCACCCCACCGAAATCCCCACAAGCCCTAACCTAGCCGCCGGCCCTACCTCCCCCTTCCTTTCCCTCCACAATTCAAATCCCTCCTTGAATACCTTCCATGTGTTAACTCTTAATTTAGGAAAGCCTAATTTCAAAATAGTTTGAATTTGAAATTTCTTTCCTAACTAAGAGAGTCTATTTTAGTAAAGTTTCTAAATTAAGTCCTATTTGAATTTCAAATTAGATGGGATTTAATTAAATCTTTTCTAATTCCTAAATCCAAAATAAGAAACCCAAATCTTTCTCCACAATCATGGTTTAAAATTGCGCAATATGAGGCTCGCCTCGAGGCCCGCCTTTGCGCAATTCTAGTAAAAAGCGCCTCGATGCTTACGCCTTGAGTTTTTTTATGAGGCTTGCTCCTCAACTTGGTTGAGGCCCGCCTCGCCTCACTAGCATGAGGCTTACGCCTCACGCTATATATATATTAACACTTACATAAATCTTGAAGTAAATGTCCGACATTGGACTCTATAGGAGAGGAGGAAGGGGAGAGAGCAGTTCACCATAATGATGATTCAAATGAAGAA